ATGCCTAACTCTGTTGGTGTGTCTTCCCGGGTCAATTCTCACATTTGCCTTCCAATGTTCTTTATCAAATTATTTCTGTCTCATCAGCCTTTATTTTAGTTGCATAATGGTCACCATCACAGATAGGTAGACTGAGGCCCAGAGAGAGCCTTAAATAAAAGTAATGAAGGTCCTACGACAAGGAGGCAGTAACCACTGGCCCGAGTTCTGTAAGGTGAGTGGCTGGTGTCAGTGGAAGGTTTTTTGTTGTTGTTGTTTTTTTTTTGTTTTTTTTTTTGTTTTTTTTTTTTTTTTTTTTTTGAGACGGAGTCTCGCTCTGCCGCCCAGGCTGGGAGGCATCGGATCTCAGCTCACTGCAAGCTCCGCCTCCCGGGTTCACGCCATTCTCCTGCCGCCGCCTCCCGAGTAGCTGGGACTACAGGCGCCCGCCACCTCGCCCGGCTAGCTTTTTTTTTTGTATTTTTAGTAGAGACGGGGTTTCACCATGTTAACCAGGATGGTCTCGATCTCCTGACCTCGTGATCCGCCCGTCTCGGCCTCCCAAAGTGCTGGGATTACAGGCTTGAGCCACCGCGCCTGCCCGGCTTTTTGTTGTTGTTGTTGTTGTTTGAGACAGAGTCACGTGCCGAGTACAGTGGCCTGATCATTGCTCACTGCAGCCTTGAACTCCTGGACCTGGCCATCCCCCGCTTTGGCCTCCCAAAATGCTGGAATTACAGTCATGAGCCACCGCAACCGGCCTTGCCTTTGCTTTGGTTATGGTGGTGGACCCTGGGTGAGGTAGGGTTGTGGGGTGGTGGAGGAAGTGATACACCTGACTACTGCATCTAGATTCATCCTAGTCTTTTTTTTTTTTTTTTGCACCAACTGGGCAGAATCTCCTTTCTCTCTGCCTCCTTTTCTGATTCACTCTCCATCTGTTAGTGGCTTCTGGCTTCTGAGAATGTGGATGGCATGGGTGGGGTAAGCTGTGGGGTGGGAAGCAGATACAAAATACAGGCAGTCCTTAATAGGCTTTCTTTAAATATTTTTTTCGAGTGCTCTCTAGGGGCACCAAGCAATGTTCTAGGAGCTGGGGGAATCCTGGTCATGAATAAAATCGACTTTGTCCTCTGTCCCACAGAGGTTCCATTGCGGGGTATATATGTATGAGGGGAGGGGAGGGATCATGGATACAGACGTGGGGCAAGATATGTCAGAATGGGTAAGGACTATAAAGGAGTGTAGGAGTGTCTGGGGAGAAGGCACAACCCCTTGAGACAAGGAGACAGGGAAGACCAGGCTGAGGAGCTGGGACCTGGGAGATGCAAAGGAGGCAGCTGAAGATCCAGAGGAAGAGGGTGCCGGGCTCAAGAACAGTACGGGAAAGGCTGTGAAATCCATGTGTTGGAGGAACTTTAGGAAGGCCAGTGTGGCTGGACTAGAGAGACAGAAAGAAGGCAAGCTACAGGCCAGGCATGGTGGCTCATGATCTGTAATCCCAGCACTTTGGGAGGCTGAGGTGGGAGCTTGAGACCAGTCTGGTCAACGTGGTGAAACCCCATCTCTACTAAAAATACAAAATTAGCCAGGTGTGGTGGTATGTGCCTGTAGTCCCAGCTACTTGGGAGAATGAGGTGGGAGAATCACTTTAACTTTGGAGGCAGAAGTTGCAGTGAGCTGAGATTGTGCCACTGCACTCCAGCCTGGGTGACAGAGTAAGACTCTGTCTCAAAAAAAGGAAGTCAAGAGGTCAAGAGGATCCCCAGTGCCAGGTCCTATAGACAATGACGGGAGTTCACTAGCAAATTTTTTAAAGGGATAGTAGGAGGCCAATAAAGGAATTAAGAATGAAGATTCAAAAGGCAGCAAGACAGGAAGCAGGAGACAAATTAGGAGGCCCTGGCTGTGACAGAGGCAGATGATGATGATCTTAGACCAGCAGGGGTTAGAGAAGAGGTGATATTCTAGGGGTCTTTGGGAGGTGACTGAGAGATGAGGGCAACATTCCCTGAGGTGTAGGAGACACCAGGACAGAAGCAGGTTTGCTGGATGACATCTAAGCGGGGCGGGAAAGAAACGAATTCAGCTGTGGGCATGTAGAGTATGGAGAGTCAGGACAGCCAGAGACACTGTTCCAGGCTGAGGAGAGACCAGATGATGCTTGAAGTTTTTGTCTTTAAAAAATCAGTTGCCGAGTGGTGGCTCATGCCTGTAATCCCAGCACTTTGGGAGGCTGAGGCGGGTGGAACACCTGAGGTTAGGAGTTTGAGACCAGCCTGGCCAACACGGTGAAACAACATCGCTGCTAAAAATACAAAAATTAGCCAGATGTGGTGGTGGGGACCTGTAATCCCAGCTACTTCGGGGGCTAAGGCAGGAGAATTGCTTGAACTCGGGAGGCAGAGGTTGCGGTGAGCCAAGATGGCACCATTGCACTCCAGCCTGGAGTGACAAGAGTCAGACTCCATCTCAAAAAAAAAAAAAAAAAAAATCAGTTTAGGCCAGGAACAGTTGCTCATGCCTGCAATCCCAGCAGTTTGGGAGACCAAGGCAGGTGGGTCATCTGCTGTGATGAGTTTGGGGCCAGCCTGGCCAACATAGCAAACTCCCATCTCTACTAAAAATACAAAAATTAGTCAGGCATGGCAGCGCATGCCTGTAATCCTCCCTTCTTAGGAGGCTGAGGCAGGAGAAACCCTTGAACTTAGAAGGTAGAGGTTGCAGTGAGCTGAGATTATGGGGCCACTGTACTCCAGCCTGGCACAGAGCAAACTCCATCTCAAAAAAAAAAAAAAAATCAGTTATCATCCAGGCATGGTGGCCCACGACTGTAATCCCAGCACTTGGGAGGCCGAGGTGGGTGGATCACTTGAGCTCAGGAATTTGAGACCAGCCCTGGTAACATGGTGAAACTCTGTAGCTCTATGAAAATACAAAGTAGGCGTACAGTGCTTCATAGTCCCAGCTACTCGGGAGGTCAAGGTTGGAGGATCACTTGTGCCCAGGAGAAGACTCTATCCCCCAAAATAACTAAATAAAAATAAATGGCCAGGCCGTGGCTCACACCTGTAATGCCAGAACTTTGGGAGGCCGAGGCAGGCGGATCATGAGGTCAAGAGATCGAGACTCCACCTCACAACACGGTGAAACCTTGTCTCTACTAAAAATACAAAAAATTAACCAGGCATGGTGGCACGCGCCTGTAGTCCCAGCTACTCGGGAGGCTGAGGCAGGAGAATCGCTTCAATCTGGGAGGCGGAGGTTGCAGTGAGCTGAGATCGCACCACTGCACTCCAGCCTTGCGACAGACTGAGACTCCGTCTCCAAAAATAAAAATAAATAAATAAATACATAAACAAACGATTATGGCACTCACACCTGTAATCCCAGCACTTTCGGAGGTCAAGGCAGGAGGATTGCTTGAGCCCAGGAGTTAGAGACCAGCATGGGCAAAATATGGTAAAACCCCATTTCTACTAAAAATATAAAAATTAGCCAGGCATGGTGGTTGGGTTGCCAGGGTCCCAGTTTCCTCCGGGGCTGAGGCAGAAGATTGCTTGAGCACAGGAGGCTGGGCTGCAGTGAGCCGAGATCCCACCACTGCACTCCAACTGGGAGATCAAGCGAGCCTGTCTCAAAAAAAAAAAAAAAAAAAAGAAAGAAAGAAAAAAAGAAAGAAACCTACTAGTAGGGTTGCTGTGGAGGATTATACTTGAGACAGAAACATCTTCACTCAAGCCATAGACTATAGAAAGGTCTTTTTGTCTGTTTATTTTTTGAGACAGAGTCTCACTCTGTTGCCCAGGGCTAGAAAAAGTAAACGGCCTGATCTCGGCTCACTGCAACCTCTGCCTCCCGGGTTCAAGTGATTCTCCTGGCTCAGCCTCCTGAGTAGCTGGGACTAGAGGCGCATGCCACCACGCCCAGCTAATTTCTGTATTTTTAGTAGAGACGGGGTTTCACCATGTTACCCAGGCTGGTCTCAAACTTCTGGTCTCAAGTGATCCACCTGCCTTGCTTCAAAGTGTTGTTACAGGCGTGAGCCACTGCATCTGGCCATGGGGAAAGGTCTTACTACGGCTGGGCGCGGTGGCTCACGCCTGTAATCCCAGCACTCTGGGAGGCCTAGGCGGGTGGATCACGAGGTCAGATATCGAGACCATCCTGGCCAACATGGTGAAATCCTGTCTTTACTAAAATACAAAAAGAAAAAAGAAAAAAAAAAAAAGGCCAGGTGTGGTGTTGCGCGCTCTAGTGCCAGCTATTCGAGAGGCTGAGGCCGGAGAATTACTTGAACCCAGGAGGCAGAAGGTTCCAGAGCCGAGATCGCGCCACTGCACTCCAGCCTGGCCAAAGAACGAGACTCCCTCAAAAAAGAAAAAGAAAAAAGAAAGGTCTTAATACTTGTTAATTACTATTACTGACCCCAGGAACTCTCTGAAGCACTTTTCATGCAGGTATCACCTTTAGCACTCACATTATGTCTTATCGGAACAGAGGTTTAGAGCTGCCGGCGAATTCCTCCAGAGTCGTTTACACTTCCAGGGGAGTCAAGACTTCAACGCAGAAACTCACAAGCAGGAAAAACTTGGGAAACAGCCAGTGGGCTGACAACGCCAGCTTGCCTAAGGACTCTGCATCAGTTACCGATCTATGCAGATCCTCTGATTGCAAATTGATAGCTGGATTGTAACTTGAAGGGTCTGGATAAGATGTAATTTCAGTAAAACAGGATTTGGGGAGGTAAATGGCGCAGAGTCCTCCAGAGGAGTTTGAGAGCTAGTTTGGCTCCTCAATTGTGGTTGAAGTGATTCTTTCATTTAGGTTTATTTTCTCATCTATGGGTGCGGGAAAGAGAGTTACTGGGGTTCCCAGCGACCTTCAAACACCGATTTTCAAGGTGGAAGAACTTCTGCTTAGGTAAGGCCCAACCTTGGCTAAGGTTAATCCTCGGTGGGCCGGCAATAGACGCGTCCCCTTTAAGGCTGAAGCCAGCGGCGGCGGCGGCCGGAAGTGTTGAAGGCCTGGTCGGCGGCGGCGGTGGCGGTAGCTGCTGGCGGCTCTGCGCATGCTCCATCGCCCTGGCCGCTCGCCGCCCGCCCGCCCGACGGAGACGGTGAGGAGGGGAGGTGGCGCGCGGGCGCGGCGCGGGGTGCGGGGGCGGGGGGCGGGCGCGGGGATGCGCGGTACTGGCGAGGGCGGGCGGGCGCGCAGGGGCGGGGCTGTTGCCTCCGCGGGCGCCTCCCACGCCCTGTGCGCGCTGCCGCCGCCGCCGGGAGCGAGCGGACGTCGCGGCGCCGCGGGGTGGGACGCTGCCGCTGGGTCCGCCTGAGCAGCCGGGCTGCCCCAGCGCAGCCGGCCGCGTCGCCGGGGCTCGGGCCTCAGGCCGGGGCGGCGGGAACCGGCGAGTCCACCACTTGGGGGCTCCTGGCGCCCCGGACCGAGGGGCCCGGAAGTACTTAGGGGTGAGGGGCCAGGAGGGGCCGAGGACTCCGACTGGAGAGGCCAGGGCCCCAGACCCTGTCGAGGGTCTGGGAGCCTGGGGGTGGTCCCCAGAGGCGGGTCCGGGGAGCACCGGGCCCTGGGATGAGGAGCTGGTTGGAGGCCTGGTCCCGCCTGGTGGGATGTGACGATAGGTGCTGAAGCCCGGATGCCCGCCTGGGAGGAGACCTCCTGGGCCTTGGCCGGGGAGCAACAGTACAGAGTGGTTTTTCTGAGGAAAGCAGAGTCCAGCTTCTCCTGAGGGCGCGGCAGAGGCCTCGGCCACTCAGAACAAGGGGGAAAAAAAAGCAGGTTCTTTTCCAAAGGCAGGGCGAAGAGGAGGTCCAAGGGGAAGTGAGCAGGCCCAGGTCTCGCCACAGATGAGCATGTGGTAGAAGACTCCCTGAGCCTCCCTGAAGTACGAAAGAGCAGCGTCCAAACCTGAGGGGATGGAAGGTGTCTAGGTGTCTCTGATGTCTAGGTGAGAACAGAGTAACTCGCTCGGTCAGAGGGATGGAGAACCTATCTTTGAGAGAAGAGACTGAGGAAAGACGCTTAGGTGTTCCCGCTTTTCTGGAAATGACAGGAATTGGCCAGGTGTTATCTAATTGAGGGGCAGGAGAGATGCAGGCAAAATTCAACTTCCGAGGGTCTTGGAGGATGGTCCACCAGACAAGTGGGTGAAGCCTTGACCTAGACAGCAGAGCAGGCGTGAGCCCTGGATTCTCTCAAGATGAGAGAAATCTCAAAACCACTTCCTAGTAGACACAGATGGGGCCTTGATTGATGTCTATTTAGGCGAATCAAGACGGGTTTTAGGAAAAGAGACTGCCCGACGAATTTAGTCCCTGAGGGATTATCTTTTCCCCTTTGCCTCTGCTAATAGTTAATAAAGTGCATTTGGGGAACCTTTTTCCTTTCCTTTTTTTTTTTCTTCTTTTTTTTTTTTTGAGACGGAGTTCCTCTCGCCCACGCTGGAGTGCAGTGGTGCACCTCGGCTCACTGCAACTTCCGCCTCCTGGGTTCAAACAATTCTCCTGCCTCAGCCTCCTGAGTAGCTGGGACTACAGGCACGCCACCAGACCAGGCCATTTTTGTTACTGTTGTTTGAGACCGAAGTTTAACTCTTGTTGCTCAGACTGGAGTGCAATGGATGCGATCTCAGCTCACCGCAACCTCTGCCTCTCGGGTTCAAGCAATTGTCCTGCCTTACCCTCCTGAGTAGCTGGGCCACAGGCGCCCGCCACCACGCCCAGCTAATCTTTTGTATTTTTAGTAGAGACGGGTTTTCACCATGTTGGCCAGGCTGGTCTCGAACTCCTGACCTCAGGTGATCCGACATCTTCAGCCTCCCAGAGTACTAGGATTACAGGCGTGAGTCACTGCGCCCAGCCCAACCAGGCTAATTTTTTTTTTTTTTTTTTGAGATGGAGTCTTGCTCTGTCGCCCAGGCTGGAGTGTGGTGGCCGGATCTCAGCTCACTGCAAGCTCTGCCTTTCGGGTTCACGCCATTCTCCTGCCTCAGCCTCCTGAGTAGCTGGGACTACAGGCGCCGCCACCTCGCCCGGCTAGTTTTTTGTATTTTTTAGTAGAGACGGGGTTTCACCATGATAGCCAGGATAGTCTCGATCTCCTGACCTCGTGATCGCCCGTCTCGGCCTCCCAAAGTGCTGGGATTACAGGCTTAAGCCACCGCGCTCAGCCAGGCTAATTTTTTGTATTTTTAGTAGAGACAGGGTTTCACTGTGTTAGCCAGGATGGTCTCAATTTCCTGACCTCGTGTTCCGCCCGCCTTGGTCTCCCAAAGTGCTGGTATTACAGGCGTGAGCCACTGTGCCCGGCCGGGGAACCTTCTCATTCAATGGTTGCACCGTCTCCTAATTTGAGAGCCTTATATCAAGGATGTATATTTAATATCTTAAATGATTTTTTTTTTTTGGTTCATGTTTACTTCAGCAAATACATTGAATAGGCAGCTTCTACTCTGCTTCATTGGGTTTATTGTGGGGGCAGTATTTTGGTCTTGCCCTAAGCCAAACTCCACCGGATTGTAGCGGGATGACTCCAAAGAACTCTTATCTCATCTCTCACTCAAACATCTACATAGTAGTCTCGTCTGTGACTTGGAATTTCACCTCTGGATACTTCTCTCAGTATTTCTGCATAATTTACTTGTTGACATCATTACATCTTGTAGCACTCTGGATCACCCACTGAATGCATGAGAAGAAATAAAGGGGATATCAAGGAGTTTTGGCCTCAAGTAACAAAGTTTTAACTTGGATTTTTCCCCCTCGTTTTAAACAAAACCGTAGTTTAGATTGGAAATTTCTTTTTTATTTTTATTTTTTTAGGGGACAGTTTCCCTCTGTCGCCCAGGTGGAGTGCATTGCGGGATCTCAGTTCACTGCAAACTCGATCCTCTCAGCTCAGCTTCCTGAGTAGCTGGGACTACAGGCGCGTGGCACTGCGCCTGCCTAATTTTGTTAGTTTTCTGGCGGGCGCTGTGATTTATGCCTTTAATGCCAGCACTATAGCATTACAGCACTAATCCCAAAGTGAGTGGCCTCCTTGGCCTCTCTTTAGCTCGAGTTCCAGACCAGCTTGGGCAACATGGTGAAACCCTGTCTCTACAAAAAATAACAAAAATTAGCCGGGTGTGGTGGAGCTAGCTGCCTGTGGTCCCAGCTACTCCAGAGGTTGAAGTGGGAGGATCGCTTGAGCCCCGGAAGTCGAGGTTGCAGTGAGCTGAGAGCTAGCCTCGGCTCTCTGGCCTGGGTGACAGAGTGAGACTATGTCTCACCAAAAAAAAAAAAAAAAAAAAAGAACGACTACACAGTCTCCAAAAATTATAATAGTGTGGAGCAAATAAATATTTTGGGCTTGGGGCGGTGGCTCACGCCTGTGATCCCAGCACTTTGGGAGGCGGAGGCGGAGGCGGGCGGATGACCTAAGGCCAAGAGTTTGAGACCCACCTGGCCAACATGGTGAAACCCTGTCTCTACTAAAAATACAAAAATTGGCCGAGTGCTGTGACTCACGCCTGTAATCCCAGCACTTTGGGAGGCCGAGGTGGGCAGATCACGAGGTCAGGAGATCGAGACCATCCGGGCTAACATAGTGAAACCCCGTTTCTACTAAAAATACAAAAAATTAGTGGGGCGTGATGGAGGGCGCCTGTAGTCCCAGGCGGAGGTAAGAGAATGGCGTGAACCCCGGAGGCGGAGCTTGCAGTGAGCCGAGAATCGCGCCACTGCACTCCAGCCTAGGCGATAGAGCAAGACTCCGTCTCAAAAAAAAAAAAATTAAATAAATAAATAAATAAATAAAAATTAGCTGGGCGTGGTGGCAGATGCCCATAATCTACCTGGGAGGCAGGAGAATCGCTTGAACCCGGGAGGCAGAGCTTGCAGTGAGCCGAGACCATGCCATTGCACTCCAGCCTGAGCAACAAGAGAGAAACTCCATCTCAAAAAAAATTAAATATTTTGGGGTTAGAAAATTTCAGAAAATCTTGTATTCATTTTTACTTTTTTAAGTCCCCAGAAAGTGCCAATATTATTATTATTGTTTGTTATGATTGTACTTTAAGTTCTAGGGTACATGTGCACAATGTGCAGGTTTGTTACATATGTATACATGTGCCATGTTGGTGGGTGTGCTGTACCCATTAACTCGTCATTTATATTAAGTATATCTCCTAATGCTATCCATCCCCCCTCCCAAAAGTGCCAATAGTATCCCCTTTTTTTTTTTTTTTTTTTTGATGGAGTCTCACTGTCGCCAGGCTGGAGTGCAGTGGCACTATCTTGGTTCACTGCAGCCTCCGCCTCTTGGGTTCAAGTGATTCTCCTGCCTCAGCCTCCCGAGTAGCTGGGACTACAGGCACACGTCACCACGCCCAGCTAATTTTTTTTTTTTTTTTTTTTTTTTGAGACAGAGTTTTGCTCTTGTTGCCCAGGCTGGAGTGCAGTGGCGCAATCTCAGTTCAACGCAACCTCTGCCTCCTGGGTTCAAGTGATTCTTCTGCCTCAGCTTCCCGAGTAGATGGGATTGCAAGCATGCACCACTATGCCTCGCTAATTTTGTACTTTCAGTAGAGACGGGGTTTCTTCATGTTGGCCAGGCTGGTCTCGAACTCCCGATCTCAGGTGATCCACCTGTCTCGGCCTCCCAAAGTGCTGGGATTACAGGCGTGAGCCACTGTGCCCACCTAATTTTTGTATTTTTAGTAGAGATGGGGTTTCACCATGTTGGCCAGGATGGTCTTGATCTCTTGACCCCATGATCCACCTGCCTCGGCCTCCTGAAGTGCTGGGATTACAGGCGTGAGCCACTGCACCCAGCCAATATTACTCCTTTTTCATTACTAGTTCCAGTGTCCTTCCCTGCAATCATGTGACACTTGTCCGTTTTTGTTTTTTTGAGATGGAGTTTCCAGGCTGGAGTGCAGTGACTGTGGCACAATCTCGTCTCACTGTAACCTCCGCTTCCTGGATTCAAGCGATTCTCCTGCCTCAGCCTCCAGAGTAGCTGGGATTACAGGCGCCCACCACCACGCCTGGCTAATTTTTGTATTTTTAGTAGAGACAGGGTTTCACCATGTTGGCCAGGCTGGTCTCGAACTCCTGACCT